GAGTGTGCGAGTGTGTGAGTGTGAGTGTGCGAGTCATTGCGTGCGAGTCTGTGAGTGTGTGAGTCTGTGAGTGTGTGAGTCTGTGCGTGTGAGTGTGCGAGTCTGTGAGTGTGCGAGTCACTGTGTGCGAGTCTGTGAGTGTGCGAGTCTCTGCGTGCGAGTCTATGAATGTGCGAGTCTCTGCGTGTGAGTCTGTGAGTGTGTGAGTCTCTGCGTGTGAGTCTGAGTGTGCGAGTCTCTGCATGTGAGTCGGTGAGTGTGTGAGTCTGTGAGTGTGCGAGTGTGTGAGTGTGAGTGTGCGAGTCATTGCGTGCGAGTCTGTGAGTGTGTGAGTCTGTGAGTGTGTGAGTCTGTGCGTGTGAGTGTGCGAGTCTGTGAGTGTGCGAGTCACTGCGTGCGAGTCTGTGAGTGTGTGAGTCTGTGAGTGTGAGTCTGTGAGTGTGAGTCTGTGAGTGTGCGAGTCTCTGCGTGTGAGTCTGAGTGCGTGAGTCTGTGAGTGTGCGAGTCTCTGCGTGTGCGAGTCTGAGTGTGTGAGTCTGAGTGTGTGAGTCTGTGAGTGTGCCAGTCACTGCGTGCGAGTCTGTGAGTGTGCAAGTCTCTGAGTGTGTGAGTCTCTGAGTGTGTGAGTCTCTGCATGAGCCTGCGTGTGGTGAGTTTGCAGCTCAATCACCTGCTCACTCACACGCACGTGAGACTGTGAGCATGTGAGACTCTCTGAGCATGTGAGCCACTGTGTAAGGGTGTGAGTGTGCGAGTTGTGCGTGTATTGAGTCTACATGTGGTGAGTCTGCGTTTGAGTCTGCAGCTCAATCAGTTGTTCGCTCACATGCAAGCGAAACTGTGAATGTGGGAGTCTGTGTGTGGCGAGTCTGCGTGTGAGTCTGTGAGTGTGCGAGTCTCTGCGTGTGAGTCTGTGAGTGCGTGAGTCTGTGAGTGTGCGAGTCTCTGCGTGTGCGAGTCTGAGTGTGTGAGTCTGTGATTGTGCGAATCTCTGCGTGTGAGTCTGTGAGTGTGCGAGTCTCTGCGTGTGAGTCTGTGAGTGTGCGAGTCTCTGCGTGTGAGTTTCTGCGTGCGAGTCTCTGCGTGTGAGTCTGTGAGTGTGCGAGTCTCTGCGTGCGAGTCTGTGAGTGTGTGAGTCTGTGAGTGTGCGAGTGTGCGAGTGTGTGAGTGTGCGAGTGTGTGAGTCTGTGAGTGTGCGAGTCTCTGCGTGTGAGTCAGTGAGTGTGCGAGTCTCTGCGTGCGAGTCTCTGCATGCGAGTCTCTGCGTGCGAGTCTGTGAGTGTGAGTCTGTGAGTGTGCGAGTCTCTGCGTGTGAGTCTGTGAGTGCGTGAGTCTGTGAGTGTGCGAGTCTCTGCGTGTGCGAGTCTGTGAGTGTGTGAGTCTGTGAGTGTGCGAGTCACTGCGTGCGAGTCTGTGAGTGTGCGAGTCTCTGCGTGTGAGTCTGTGAGTGTGCGAGTCTCAGCGTGTGAGTGTGTGAGTCTCTGCGTGCGAGTCTGTGAGTGTGCGAGTCTCTGCGTGTGAGTCTGTGAGTGTGCGAGTCTCTGCGTGTGAGTCTGTAAGTGTGCGATTCTTTGCGTGTGAGTCTGAGTGTGCGAGTCTCTGCGTGTGAGTCTGTGAGTGTGTGAGTCTGTGAGTGTGAGTCTGTGAGTGTGCGAGTCTCTGCGTGTGAGTGTGTGAGTATCTGCGTGCGAGTCTGTGAGTGTGCGAGTCTCTGCGTGTGAGTCTGAGTGTGCGAGTCTCTGTGTGTGAGTCGGTGAGTGTGTGAGTCTGTGAGTGCGCGAGTGTGTGAGTCTGTGAGTGTGCGAGTCACTGCGTGCGAGTCTGTGAGTGTGTGAGTCTGTGAGTGTGTGAGTCTGTGAGTGTGCGAGTGTGTGAGTGTGCGAGTCTGTGAGTGTGTGAGTCTGTGAGTGTGCGAGTCACTGCGTGCGAGTCTGTGAGTGTGCGAGTCTCTGCGTGCGAGTCTATGAGTGTGCGAGTCTCTGCGTGTGAGTCTGTGAGTGTGTGAGTCTCTGCATGTGAGTCTGAGTGTGCGAGTCTCTGCATGTGAGTCGGGGAGTGTGTGAGTCTGTGAGTGTGCGAGTGTGTGAGTGTGAGTGTGCGAGTCACTGCGTGCGAGTCTGTGAGTGTGTGAGTCTGTGAGTGTGTGAGTCTGTGAGTGTGAGTGTGCGAGTCTGTGAGTGTGCGAGTCACTGCGTGCGAGTCTGTGAGTGTGTGAGTCTGTGAGTGTGAGTCTGTGAGTGTGAGTCTGTGAGTGTGCGAGTCTCTGCGTGTGAGTCTGAGTGCGTGAGTCTGTGAGTGTGCGAGTCTCTGCGTGTGCGAGTCTGAGTGTGTGAGTCTGAGTGTGTGAGTCTGTGAGTGTGCCAGTCACTGCGTGCGAGTCTGTGAGTGTGCGAGTCTCTGAGTGTGTGAGTCTCTGAGTGTGTGAGTCTCTGCATGAGCCTGCGTGTGGTGAGTTTGCAGCTCAATCACCTGCTCACTCACACGCACGTGAGACTGTGAGCATGTGAGACTCTCTGAGCATGTGAGCCACTGTGTAAGGGTGTGAGTGTGCGAGTTGTGCGTGTATTGAGTCTACATGTGGTGAGTCTGCGTTTGAGTCTGCAGCTCAATCAGTTGTTCGCTCACATGCAAGCGAAACTGTGAATGTGGGAGTCTGTGTGTGGCGAGTCTGCGTGTGAGTCTGTGAGTGTGCGAGTCTCTGCGTGTGAGTCTGTGAGTGCGTGAGTCTGTGAGTGTGCGAGTCTCTGCGTGTGCGAGTCTGAGTGTGTGAGTCTGTGATTGTGCGAATCTCTGCGTGTGAGTCTGTGAGTGTGCGAGTCTCTGCGTGTGAGTCTGTGAGTGTGCGAGTCTCTGCGTGTGAGTTTCTGCGTGCGAGTCTCTGCGTGTGAGTCTGTGAGTGTGCGAGTCTCTGCGTGCGAGTCTGTGAGTGTGTGAGTCTGTGAGTGTGCGAGTGTGCGAGTGTGTGAGTGTGCGAGTGTGTGAGTCTGTGAGTGTGCGAGTCTCTGCGTGTGAGTCAGTGAGTGTGCGAGTCTCTGCGTGCGAGTCTCTGCGTGCGAGTCTCTGCGTGCGAGTCTGTGAGTGTGAGTCTGTGAGTGTGCGAGTCTCTGCGTGTGAGTCTGTGAGTGCGTGAGTCTGTGAGTGTGCGAGTCTCTGCGTGTGCGAGTCTGTGAGTGTGTGAGTCTGTGAGGGTGCGAGTCACTGCGTGCGAGTCTGTGAGTGTGCGAGTCTCTGCGTGTGAGTCTGTGAGTGTGCGAGTCTCAGCGTGTGAGTGTGTGAGTCTCTGCGTGCGAGTCTGTGAGTGTGCGAGTCTCTGCGTGTGAGTCTGTGAGTGTGCGAGTCTCTGCGTGTGAGTCTGTGAGTGTGCGATTCTCTGCGTGTGAGTCTGAGTGTGCGAGTCTCTGCGTGTGAGTCTGTGAGTATGTGAGTCTGTGAGTGTGAGTCTGTGAGTGTGCGAGTCTCTGCGTGTGAGTGTGTGAGTCTCTGCGTGCGAGTCTGTGAGTGTGCGAGTCTCTGCGTGTGAGTCTGAGTGTGCGAGTCTCTGTGTGTGAGTCGGTGAGTGTGTGAGTCTGTGAGTGCGCGAGTGTGTGAGTCTGTGAGTGTGCGAGTCACTGCGTGCGAGTCTGTGAGTGTGTGAGTCTGTGAGTGTGTGAGTCTGTGAGTGTGCGAGTGTGTGAGTGTGCGAGTCTGTGAGTGTGTGAGTCTGTGAGTGTGCGAGTCACTGCGTGCGAGTCTGTGAGTGTGCGAGTCTCTGCGTGCGAGTCTATGAGTGTGCGAGTCTCTGCGTGTGAGTCTGTGAGTGTGTGAGTCTCTGCATGTGAGTCTGAGTGTGCGAGTCTCTGTATGTGAGTCGGTGAGTGTGTGAGTCTGTGAGTGTGCGAGTGTGTGAGTGTGAGTGTGCGAGTCACTGCGTGCGAGTCTGTGAGTGTGTGAGTCTGTGAGTGTGTGAGTCTGTGAGTGTGAGTGTGCGAGTCTGTGAGTGTGCGAGTCACTGCGTGCGAGTCTGTGAGTGTGTGAGTCTGTGAGTGTGAGTCTGTGAGTGTGAGTCTGTGAGTGTGCGAGTCTCTGCGTGTGAGTCTGAGTGCGTGAGTCTGTGAGTGTGCGAGTCTCTGCGTGTGCGAGTCTGAGTGTGTGAGTCTGAGTGTGTGAGTCTGTGAGTGTGCCAGTCACTGCGTGCGAGTCTGTGAGTGTGCGAGTCTCTGAGTGTGTGAGTCTCTGAGTGTGTGAGTCTCTGCATGAGCCTGCGTGTGGTGAGTTTGCAGCTCAATCACCTGCTCACTCACACGCACGTGAGACTGTGAGCATGTGAGACTCTCTGAGCATGTGAGCCACTGTGTAAGGGTGTGAGTGTGCGAGTTGTGCGTGTATTGAGTCTACATGTGGTGAGTCTGGGTTTGAGTCTGCAGCTCAATCAGTTGTTCGCTCACATGCAAGCGAAACTGTGAATGTGGGAGTCTGTGTGTGGCGAGTCTGCGTGTGGCGAGTCTACAGCTCGATCACCTGCTCGCTCGCACGCCCATGACACTGAGCGTGCAAGTCTATGAGTCTGCCCGAATCTGTGAGTCTGAGACTGACAGTTTGCGTGTCTCTCTATGTGAGTGGGTGTGTCTGAGTGAGTCTACGTGAGATTGAGAATCTACATGCGTCTGTGTGTGTCTCTATGCGTCTCTGTGTGAGTCTGAGTTTGCGTGTGTGTCTCTGGGAGTCTGAGTGAGTCTGTGAGAGTCTGTGAGGATGAATGTGTCTCTGTGAGCCTCTGTGTGAGTCTGTATGAGTCTTTAGTCTGCGTGTGTGTATCTGGGAGTCTGAGTAAGCAAGTGAGCCCGAGTCAGTCTGTGAGGGTCTACGTGTGTCATTGGGAGTCTCTGTGTGACTGAGTGAGAGTCTGTGGCCGTGTGTGTCTCTGTGAGTCTTGTGTGACTGAGTGAGTCTGAGTGAGAGTCTGTGGCAGTGTGAGTCTCTGTGAGTCTCTGTGCGAGTGAGGTGGAGGGGGGGTTGCTCACCTCTCGGAGTTCCCGGATCTGCTCGGTGAGCCCCCCGATCTCCGAGTAGGAGACCTGGCCCGGGTCTTCGTGGGACATGTTGTACACCAGCGGGTCCACCTCTCTGGGCAGGTACCTGGGGAGAATCACGGCAGGGCTTCGCTCACCCAACCACTCACCAACTCACCCACTCATTCACCCCCCCACTCACTCGCTCAGCCACCCACTCAACCACCACCCCCCCCCCCCCACTCACTCGCTCAGCCACCTACTCACCAACTCACCCACTCATTCACCCACTCACTCACTCAGCCAATCACTCAACACCACCCCCCCACTCACTAACTCGCCCACCCACTCACCCACTCACTCGCTCAGCCACTCACTCAACCACTCAACCACCCACTCACTCAGCCACTCAGATATGACGATGGTTCTAATGGTGGTGTGCTAATGGTGGCGGTAGTGATCATGGTGGTGATGGTGATGATGGTGGTTGTGATGATTGTGATGATTGCAATGATGATGATGCAGTGGAAGAGCAGCTTTAACCCTGTCTAGGAAATTCCACATTCACATGGCAAGGGCAGGAGATACAGTGGGCAGCACTGGGTGACCCCACCTCATGATGGTTAACGTGGTCATGTCCAGGGCCACTCGGGTTCCTGCCTTCAACTTTGACTTGTCCAGCTACAGAGAGAGACAGACAGATCTACAAAGAGACAGATACTGAGAGATATATCTAGTCACACTGAGACATACATAGATATCGAGAGCGACGGAAATATGTAGACATATATATAGACACAGAGATAGACAAAAACTGAGATAAATGATATACTGAGAAAAAGATCCACACAGATACAGAGACAGACATGAAGATAGATACGCAGATACAGTGAGAGGTACAGATATAGAAGCACATGAGGGAGTGGTGTCACCAGCACCGTACCTGGCCACCTTTGCCTCCCAGTGCTGACGTTTAACACACTGAAGGCGCTTATTTTGAGGCCAAGTCTACCTAGAGGAGGCCCACGACTGGTACTGATATTTGCAGTCACTATCCACTGCACCACCACTACCCAACACAAAGACAAAGGTGCCCCGCACAGCCTATAACAGACTGTTGGGGCAAGTGCTGTTAGTGAGGAGCAGCGCCTATGAAGGCCGGCTCTGTGGCACGCGAGGGGGTGAGTGGCCTGCACCACGCCCGGTCGCCTTCGTCTCCCAGTGGTAACGTTGACGACACACCACTCCTTCGGATAATCACTTGAGGGCTGAGTGGACCTAGGGGAGGCCCAGGACCGGTTTGATTAATCGCTATCACTGATGGTGTTGGTGGCGGTCGTGAGCGGGAATCGAACTTTGGGTCTCTGCTGGGGTTCGCAGCGCAGCACAGTGCTAACCGCTGCGCCACAGCTCCCCTAAAGACACACACAGCACACACAGCCTACACGGGATACACAGCCTACACGGGACACACAGCACACACAGCCTACACGGGACACACAGCCTACACGGGACACACAGCACACACAGCCTACACGGGACACACAGCACACACAGCATACACGGGACACACAGCCTACACGGGACACACAGCACACACAGCCTACACGGGACACACAGCACACACAGCATACACGGGACACACAGCACACACAGCCTACACGGGACACACAGCACACACAGCATACACGGGACACACAGCACACACAGCCTACACGGGACACACAGCACACACAGCCTACACGGGACACACAGCCTACACGGGACACACAGCACACACAGCCTACACGGGACACACAGCACACACAGCACACACAGCATACACGGGACACACAGCACACACAGCCTACACGGGACACACAGCACACACAGCCTACACGGGACACACAGCACACATGGGACACAGCCTACACGGGACACACAGCACACATAGCCTACACGGGACACACAGCACACACACGCTACACGGGACACGCAGCACACACAGCCTACACGGGACACACAGTACACACAGCCTACACGGTACACACAGCACACACAGCCTACACGGTACACACAGCACACATGGGACACAGCCTACACGGGACACAGCACACATGGGACACAGCCTACACGGGACACACAGCACACATAGCCTACACGGGACACACAGCACACACAGTCTACACGGGACGCACAGCACACACGGGACACAGCCTACACGGGACACACAGTACACACGAGACACACAGCACACACGGGACACACAGCCTACACGGGACACACAGCACACACAGCATACACGGGACACACAGCACACACAGCCTACACGGGACACACAGCACACACAGCATACACGGGACACACAGCACACACAGCCTACACGGGACACACAGCACACACAGCCTACACGGGACACACAGCCTACACGGGACACACAGCACACACAGCCTACACGGGACACACAGCACACACAGCACACACAGCATACACGGGACACACAGCACACACAGCCTACACGGGACACACAGCACACACAGCCTACACGGGACACACAGCACACATGGGACACAGCCTACACGGGACACACAGCACACATAGCCTACACGGGACACACAGCACACACACGCTACACGGGACACGCAGCACACACAGCCTACACGGGACACACAGTACACACAGCCTACACGGTACACACAGCACACACAGCCTACACGGTACACACAGCACACATGGGACACAGCCTACACGGGACACAGCACACATGGGACACAGCCTACACGGGACACACAGCACACATAGCCTACACGGGACACACAGCACACACAGTCTACACGGGACGCACAGCACACACGGGACACAGCCTACACGGGACACACAGTACACACGAGACACACAGCACACACGGGACACACAGCACACATGGGACACAGCCTACACGGGACACACAGCACACATGGGACACAGCCTACACGGGACACACAGCACACACAGCCTACACGGGACACACAGCACACATGGGACACACAGCACACACGGGACACACAGCACACACGGGACACACAGTACACACGAGACACACAGCACACACGGGACACACAGCACACATGGGACACACAGCACACACGGGACACACAGCACACACGGGACACAAAGTACACACGAGACACACAGCACACACAGGACACACAGCACACATGGGACACAGCCTACACGGGACACACAGCACACATGGGACACAGCACACACGGGACACACAGCACACACGGGACACACAGCACACATGGGACACAGCCTACACGGGACACACAGCACACATGGGACACAGCCTACACGGGACACACAGCACACACGGGACACACAGCACACATGGGACACAGCCTACACGGGACACACAGCACACATGGGACACAGCCTACACGGGACACACAGCACACATGGGGACACAACGCACACACATCACGCACGAGGACACAGCACACATGAGACACCGCCTACACGGGACACACAGCACACATGGGACACACAACACACATGGGACACAGTCTACACGGACACACAGCACACATGGGGACACAAAGCACACACAGCACGCACGGGGACACACAGCACACATGGGACACAGCCTACACGGGACACACAGCACACACAGCCTACACGGGACACACAGCACACATGGGACACACAGCACACACGGGACACAGCCTACACGGGACACACAGCACACATGGGACACAGCCTACACGGGACACACAGCACACATGGGACACACAGCACACATGGGACACACAGCACACATGGGGACACAAAGCACACACAGCACGCACGGGGACACACAGCACACATAGGACACAGCCTACACGGGACACACAGCACACATGGGATACAGCCTACACGGGACACACAGCACACATGGGACACACAGCACACATGGGGACACAAAGCACACACAGCACGCACGGGGACACACAGCACACAAGGAGACATACAGCACACACAGAGATACAAAGAACACACGAGCCACACAGGGGACACACAGCACATGTGGAGTGCTCTGTCCCGCGGTGGCGAGATGTTGACTACCTCGCCTGGTATGCAGGAGGACATGGGTTCGATCACAACCCCGACAATGCTTGCTGCTGTATATTTGGAGTCTGCGTCTCTCTCACCCCGTGGTCACATGGATTTTTCTCCGGGTCCTCCAGTTTTTCCGTCCACATTTAGAATCAACGTCACGCGTTTAAGGGTATTTGGCTGCTATAAATGTCCACGTGATAATCCACTTCGTTGAGCTATCATTTGTGATAGCCAAGTCACTTCTAAATACAGCTACATAGCTCAGTGGGCCTTACCTAGTAAAATTAATATAATGTATAGTTTTATAGTCACCTGTCTGCGACATCCGACCACATAGCGAGGCCCATTGGTAGCCTTCACGATAACTGAGACACAGAGGGAGAGAAATCATTGTCAATATCATGAACATCACAATACCTGGGACACACATACAGGCCGGCATTCTCACTCACAGACATACACATATACACCACAACAACACCACTAGGTGGTGGTGACATCATCACCACGGTGCTTGTGCCAGGCCAGGTGCCCTTTCCGGCCACGTGCAGTGTCAAAGGCTCGCCGACAGGAGGTCACAGGACAGGACCCAGGTGCCACATGGGTTGACCGACTGAGATGACCGACAGATGCTTCCCACTAAGCCAATTTCTTGCGTTTCCGCCGTCTGGAGTTCTGCTCGTTCTTCTGAGTATTGCTCCTTCGTCCTCCATCTGGGTTAAACCCAGGGTGGATCGTAGGCAGGCCAGCCTGAATGTTTCAAACCGGCGCAGAGGTTCCATTCCTCCAGTCTAAATAAAGATTCTGATTCTGACGGAGAAGTCTCAATGCTTCGCGAGCATAGAGAAGGGAGGGCATAACAATGGCCGAAAAGACCCGAAGCTTCATGTGGAGCGACAGGCCAGGTAACTTTCACACAGCGTTACGCAGCCAATGAAGAGATGTCACCAGACGAATTCCGAGTGAGACCTCCGTTGCCAAACCAGATTTGGTCATAAGCACACTGCCCAGGTACGGGAACTACTCCACTCTCTCCACAACTGCCCCATCCACTCATGGGGAGTTATGGGGATGGGAGTATTTGATAATGTATAAAACACCCAGCCAAGTGCTATGTTTTGGTGGGGCTGATGGTAAGGCCCCAGGTTCAACAGCAGCGCCTCCAACTCCTTCTCAGAGTGAGCAATAATCAACAGATCTTTTCGATTTAAAGCTTTCGTGACTGCAGGGATTCATATTCTTGGTTCTTTCGGTAAAGCCACGTATTATTTTATTATTATTTTCCTTCTACGTGACTTTACCGAAAGAACCAGGAAGATGACTCAACAGATCATCAGCATACGTAACATGGTTAATTAATAGGGAGCCATCTCTTTACCCGGGCATCGATCAGCCTCCCATTGTATATGTGTGGTGGTCAAGGTTGACACCAAGGTTGACACAGGTCACACAGGTCACACAAGCTAGGGGAGAGGTACGTACCGGTCTGGACCGGTCCGGACCGGCAGAGACGAGAGGTGGTTGGAACCGCTCTGAGGGGAGGGGGCTGGCGAGAGCCAGGGCCCCGAGACACCCCCGCCCCTCAGAGAGAAGGGATATAAGACGGCTCCCGAAGAGCAGGGGGGGGGCCATCTCACCAGAAGCTGAAGGAGGTGCGGCCGGAGATCCTGGATGCCGCCCCGCTGGGACTGAGTGGGCTGACTAGCTGTAGGCTAGTCGACGAAGCTAACCTTTCCTCGCTGGGGGCGGCACATTACCTGCACACAGAGTTGCTCCTCCAGCGGGATGGGCAGGTGGCGGCGTGCGCCGCTGCAAGAGTTGACGAGGTCCCGGATACCCAGGCCTTCGCGTCGCAGCGGGCCGCCAGTTGGAGGGGGGCCGACCGGCCTCGCCAAGGGGAACCCCGGCGGAGACACGGATCCCCGCGGGCGTGGGCTCGCGTCACGTGCTACAACTGTGGCCAGCTGGGTCACCTGGCATCGGGTTGTCCAGCACCCCGGCGCCGGGCTCCGGGTCGTCCACCATCGTCCGCCCATCCGCCGGCCGCTCCACAAGAACCCCAGGCATGTCGCGACACCTCACGCACATGGTGCCTGCCCGCATCTCATACACCACGAATCGGCGCGCCACTAAATCGCGTTGCGTTGAGGGGTGGGGAGCGGAACGGGGCTGATGTTCGGGGGCCACTTCGCGCGGTTCAGTGGTCCGAGTTGACCCACAGGGTCGTGGCCACGGCGACGGGCTCGTCGGTTATTCTCGGGGATATTGAGGGGATTCAATTTCGATTGTTGGTCGATACGGGGGCTTCGGCTACTATAATTTCCGACCTCATATACAACGTGTTACCAAAGAGATGTCAGGCACTCGCCCCGTTCTCCGTCCCTTGTTTTGGGGCGAATGGGGGTTCCCTGGGGATTATTGGCCAAATAACTGCACAAATTTGTATTGGCGACATTAAATTATCTGGTCCCGTTTTGGTTTCCGATGCCTTGGCCGTTCCCTGTTTGTTGGGTACGGACTTCTTGGGGAGGATGCCCATCAAAATTTTAATTGACAAAGGCTGCATCGAGCTTCCTTCGGGCCGCCGGATGGCATTTCTGCCCTCACCAAACCGGCTGCGCACGGCTTGCGCGACTGTTCCGGCTATGGCGTCTGAAACCGTGCGGATTCCGCCGGGTGCGCAGATGCTAATACCGCTTCAGTTACGCAAACCACTGGAGGAAGACGCTACGTCGGGGGTTTTGTTGTCTCCTTCCAATACGACCGAGCAAGCGTTGGACCTGGTGGGTGCACAAACGCTTGTGCCTAGAGATGGACAGCCCTTCATTCTATTGCTGAATGCGGGGTTGCGGACGAAGGTCGTGCACCGAGTGGCTGTGATTGCACATGCATCGCTGCCGCTGCACACTGACTCCGTCGCGGCTCATGTCGGTGAGGCGCCGGCGTCCGGGACACAGGGGGGTGTCGATGAGGTATGGATGGATGCTCTCTGTTCAGGGGCTGAAAATTTTTCCGAGTCACAAAGATTAAAGCTGCGCATGTTGCTTCGTAAATTTCCCGATGTTTTTAGCAAACACAAATTCGATGTTGGGTGCACTAATCTATTTAAACACCACATTGATACGGGGGATTTCGCCCCCATTCGGCAAAATGCGTTCCGATTGAGTCCGGCAGAGAAGGAACATGTCCGTTGGCAGTGAATGACATGCTTGCCGCAGACATTGTGGCTCCCTCCAACAGCCCATGGGGTGCGCCGATTGTGCTTGTTAAAAAACATGATGGCAGTTTGAGGTTTTGTGTGGATTTTCGGAAGCTTAACAAGGTTTCGCTGGCGGACGCGTATCCGCTCCCTCGCATGGACGAGTCGCTCGATGCCTTGGCGGTGGCGCGGTATTTTTCAACCTTGGACCTTTTGTCGGAGTTTTGGCAACTGCCCTTGGATGAGGCTTCCAAACCTAAGACCGCGTTCCGTACGCCACAGGGCCTTTATCAGTTCAATCGGTTGCCCATGGGATTGCACTCAGCTCCAGCGACGTTCCAGAGATTGATGGAACTGGTCCTCGCTGGCCTGCAGTGGGACTCTTGTCTTATATATCTGGACGACGTGATTATTTTCAGCCGTACGTTTGAGGAACATCTGGACAGACTGCGGGCTGTATTTCTCAGAGTGCGATCGACTAACCTTAAATTTAAGCCTCAGAAATGTTTCCTGTTGCGTGAATCGGTGCGGTACCTCGGCCACGTTGTCAGTTCTACGGGTATAGCCACCGATCCTGCAAAAACTGACTGTGTAAGAACGTGGCCTACGCCAACGTCTGTGGGGGAAGTCCGCAGCTTTATAGGCTTTGCTTCCTATTACAGCCGGTTTGTTGAGGAGTTTGCGACGATCGCCAAACCCCTTCATGCTCTGACGGCTAAGGGGGCTAAATTCCATTGGGGGGAAGAGGAAGACAGGGCGTTCAGGGCGCTTCGCGATGCCCTTGTCCGAGCTCCTCCCTTATGCTATCCCGATTTCACGTTGCCCTTCATCCTGGACACCGATGCCAGAAATACCGGCATCGGCGTGGTGCTTTCGCAGGTTGTCAACGGGGTCGAACGGGTCATTGCCTACGGCAGTAGAGTCCTGTCTCCGGCAGAACAACGTTATTGCGTCACCCGCCGTGAACTGCTCGCTATTGTCGTGTTTGTTCAACAATATCGACCGTACCTGTATGGTAGGCATTTTACAGTTCGTTCCGATCATGCCGCGCTACAGTATGCGTTGAAAATAGACCAGCCGTCCGGCCAGCTGTCACGTTGGCTTGAGGTCCTACAGGACTACACGTTCATGGTTGTGTACCGGAAGGGGACACAACATTCAAACGCGGATGGCTTGTCACGGCTTCCTCGGGGTGATGGGTGCACGTGTTTTATGGGCTCGGGGAGATGCAAATCGGCCACGAGTACCGCTTCGGCTTCTCCCTTGGCGGCGACAGCAGGGGTGGTCGATGGGGAACCTGTCGCCGAGGGGGACTCGCAGGTGTTGGTCGCTCGCGACTCGCTCCTCGATCTGCCTCTGGACGAATGGGGACGGTTCCAGATGGAAGACAATTCCCTCCTCAGGTTACGCCGTCGTGCGGAGAGAGGGGGAGATTGTCAGGAAAGGGTAGGTACTGTCAGGTTGCGGGAGGGTCTCCTCATGTCATGGGACGCCAGCTCGGGGCGTTACAAAATCGTCGTCCCCACCGCTCTGCGGGGCAGGGCCGTGTGGGCGGCGCACGAACGCATCCTGCATTTGGGTATTCACAAAACGCTCGCTACACTGCAATTGGATTTTTTTTGGCCGAGAATGGCGCACGATGTCGCCGACCTTTTGAATAGTTGCACGCAGTGTGCGCGGCGGAAACACCCGGCTAGGGCGGCTTGCCCACCCCTTCAGTCCATTCAGGTGTCCCGGGTTAACGAGTTGGTGGCTCTTGACATTCTGGGTCCCTTCCCTGTCACCGCTCGGGGTAATAAGTACCTGCTGGTTGGGGTTGAATATTTCACCCGTTGGCCTATGGCCTGGCCCCTCCCCAACCAGTCGGCGGCAGCCATTGCGGAGGCGTTTCTCCAGGGCTACGTCCTGGATAAGGGCGCCCCGGAACGGCTGCTAACCGACCAGGGAAAGAACTTTCCCTCTACCACCCGCAGACCGATGGTATGGTCGAACGTCTACACCGGACCATTACCTCTATGTTGTGTCATCAGGTAGACGACACACAGTTGGATTGGGACCTGAGGATTCCCGGAGTTCTGGCCGCATATAGGTTGGCGCCTCACGCGGCCACGGGCTATTCGCCCTTCTACTTAATGTACGGCAGGGATGTCGACCCCCCCATGGAGGTGCAATTTCGGGTCCAGACGGCGGCGTCTCGCTCGAAACTCTCCGAACACTCTCAGTTCAAGGGTGGCCGCGCAGGAAAATTCCAGGGCAAGGCAACGAGCCAACGAGCGTCTGTATGATCACCGGGTTACAGTGTATAAATGGGCGGTAGGGGATAAGACGTGGCTGCACTGCCCGCAGGTGCCGCTGTCAACGTCATCGAAATTGCTGCAGCCCTGGCGGGGGCCGGTCGACATTGTTCGGGTCGTTCGGGACCAGTGTGTTAGGGTCGCGTGCGGACGGCGTTCTTGGTATGTGCACCCCTCGCGCCTGAAGCCCTATGTCGCACCACGTACTCACACACCTTCATCTCGCAGGGGCCGGCCGCGTGATGTGTTCGGCAGGTTGGGGGAGGGGCCTCGTGATCCCCTTGTTGTTCTGAAACCCCCTGCCACTCTTTCGGATGCTGCAGGTGTGAGTCCACTTCGGGTGGCCTCACCAGAGGAGCGGGAACCGAGCCGGCCGCCTGTCCAGCAGGAAGACGACTCGCGGGCTTTGTCCCCGGGGCCTCGGGATGTGCCGGACGCCCGTCATCTGGCCCCTCCTGACCCTCCGCAAGAAACGCTGGCCTCTGGCGATGGACCCGCCACACGGACTCGTTCGAAGGGTCTCAGGTTCTCCTGAGACCTGTCGCAGATACACTGCCTCCTCGCGGGGCCTGGGTGTTCGAGTCACCTTGTTCGTTGGTGTGGTGTGTCTGCAGTGTTTTGTGTACAGGGGGGTTGGGGTAAATTATTGGGGATAGTTGTGTTTGTTGTTCTGTTGTTGTTATTGTTGTGTTGAGGCTCACACATTGTTCTTGTTGTGTTCAGAATTCCTGTTTCGCGAGTTAGGGTTGGGATGTGGATAGTGATGCAGCCGGGACGGCTGCGTGCTGTATAGGGGGGGGGGGGGATGTGGTGGTCAAGGTTGACACCAAGGTTGACACAGGTCACACAGGTCACACAAGCTAGGGGAGAGGTACGTACCGGTCTGGACCGGTCTGGACCGGCAGGGACGAGAGGTGGTTGGAACCACTCTGAGGGGAGGGGGCTGGCGAGAGCCAGGGCCCCGAGACACCCCCGCCCCTCAGAGAGAAGGGATATAAGATGGCTCCTGGAGAGCGGAGGGGGGCCATCTCACCAGAAGCTGAAGGAGGTGCGGCCGGAGATCCTGGACCCCAAGCCTCGAGGATGCCGCCCCGCTGGGACTGAGTGGGCTGACTAGCTGTAGGCTAGGGAAGGAGAGTAATTGAGTAGCTGTAGGCTAGGGAAGGAGAGTAATGAGAATAGAGCCGGAGGCTGTACCTCCCTAGGTTGTGTGGTTGGGCTGTTCCCCCAGTGAGTCCTGAGGACTAGTGTTATTGGAATAAAAGCGTGTGGCCTCTACGACGTCTCTGTCTTATTCAAGAATACTACATATGTACCAGATGGAAATTCCTCTGGTACATAGTCAAAGATGATGTTCAATAGAACATGGGACAGAGTACATCCCTGTCACACCCCAAGGTGAATAGGGAATGGCTCTGACTCCAGGCTACACAGCTTTATCCATGCCTGCCAACCATCATGAAGGCCCTTACAGATTGTGAGCAGAGAGTTAGGGACTCCAACAGCACGAGAATCTAGAGCCCTGGCCTTATGATGGTATCATAGGCCTTGATCAGGTTAATAAAGCGGAAATGCTGGTCCTGTTGATATTCCGTTCACCTCTGCTGTAGCAGACGGACACATAAAATGGCGTGCGTGCAAGTCCGCCCTGGCCTGAAACCACATTGGGGCTCCGCAAGCCTCTCCTCAGCGTGCCTGGCAAGGCGATGTTAAATAATCCTTGCCAGGACCATTCCCGTCACACCGAGGAGGGAAATGCCCCTGGAGTTTTTACAGTCTGTGTGGTGCCCCTTCTTAAAGAGGGGGCCGACCAGGGCATCCTTCCAATCTGCAGAACCCATCCTGTGGTCCAGACAGCTGTATTGATATTACATAGGAGAGTCTGCACACAAACGCCACCCTCCCTCAGCGGTTCACTTGGGAGATCATCTCTGGCCGACACTTTACCTGGTCTCAGGCTCTAAATTGCTCTTTGTACTTCCCCAAATAATGGTAGACAAATATCTCCAATATTTGCGGAAACAGCAGTCCCAGCACAGGGTTATCCCTACCTTGCCTCGATATTATCTGGGCTGAGGGATTTCCCTTCCCCCAAGTTACTCATAGAATTGCTCAGCAAATCCTTAAGGATCATGATAGGTGTGGTGCTAATGGAATTAAAGAGTGATTTGTGACCGCGAGCTACTGAAGCACTTTCCATCTCCATAACAATCCGTGACCACCACTCTATCCTTACAGGACTACACGGCTCTCCGAACCTCCAAGCAAAGGCCACATTGAGCCTCCTCATTCTCTGATGTGAGATCCTGTAGATGGTGGGAGCGGGTACACTGCTTTTTCTCAGCTAGCCAGAACATTTCTTGTTAGCCAGGGTCTCTGGGGAGGTCTGGACCACGTACTTCATGAATCCAATAGAATCTGCATGAGCCACAGTCCTGAACCTCACCCATTTCCCCTCGGCATCAGGAAGGGGGAAGCATGTCAACCCCAGCTGCAAGCGATGATGAAATTCTCGCTTGCAACTTTCATCAGCTAGCTGAGAGCACGTCACTTTGGGTTTGAATGGGGTCCTAAATGGACACCTACCACCGGAGTAGAAGAATGGCAGGTGCATTTTCCAGATGGCAAGCTGATGGTCAATGGGCAGAGCAGCATCACGATAGATCCTGGTGTTAAAGACATGGGCCCGAATTCTCGTATCACTATCTAGTCCAGCAGATGTTCTTGCTTAGACCCGGCATGCATCCATGTAGTTGTGTGGATGTGCCAATGCTGGAACGTGTTGGTGATTACAAACCTATAAGCTGCACAGAAGTCTAACAGCCTCCTACCGTTGTTATTGAGCTGATTTGGCCCATGCATTCCAATCACCTGCATCCTAAACAGGCATTGAAGTCACCTGATAGTCACTATCCCGAGAGCCACTTTAGCTAGCACCTGTGACAGGTCATCGAAGGCATGCGACTCATCAGCTTTGCCTACATCCCTCCAATGATGTTCATCTTCATTAGGGGTGTAAACCAATCACCACCACCATTCTTAAAATCCTGGTGATGGGGAGGCAAGCCCACAGTCACTTTGGACTCACAGCTTCCCACACCTCACCTCCACACTCCCAAACCCCCTTCATTCTTTTGTTCAGAAGCAGAGCCACTCCCTGTTGTTTGTAAGTTTCCTGCCCTGTGTGCAGGACTGTCCACACATCAAGGAGCAAGAACCAATCCACCGGACCCTCTTGTAATCCAGAGGTCCAGGCAATACTGCTCCATCTCCCGACAGCGTTTGTGTATGTCATCGATTTTTATTCCAATTAAAACTAAAATAAAATAACTTTATCGGTACCAAGGCTCCCCACAAGGCCATTATGGAGGGTTGTGTGGCACAGTATGGCGCCAGCTATCGTAGAGTACGGCGGTCGTGTTGCTACGGTTCTCTGTGGTAACGATGTCTTCATAAAAACGTCGCTACTACACCTCTCTAAATAAAATTGACGCTGAACCGCTCGCGCCTTCCGAGATTCAGCAGTGAAGGGGACACCCACGACCCGGCAACTTACAGACATCTCATAATGGGAAACGGTTGATATATTTTATTTGTAGTTTTAGTGGTAATTAAATTTAAGGTGGAGGGGTCACAAGCCCCTCGCGCCAGTCCAGAGCCCACGTTGGCCACTGTGGCGGCTGTGATCGCCATGAGGGCATCAACGGATTGGCATTGCTCACAGCCACCACAGCATTACCAACAATCAACCACCGAGGAGGTGGCGGGGGGGTTTAAATTACCGAGCAGTGCTACCCAAATTACACAGACATGGAGAGGCAGCAAGAGGCATGACACACAGTAACATCGCGACCACCAAAGATAAAGATCCCCCGTATAGCATTAATAGACTATTGGGGCAGGTGCTGTTAGCGAGCACCTATGTAGGCCGACACGGCACACGAGGGGGTGGGTGGCCAGCATCACACCCGGCCGCCATTGCCTCCCCTTGTGGCGATGTTTACACATCGCACAAGGTACTCATTTGAGGCTGAGTCGACCTCGGGGAGGCTCAGGACCTGATCAGATAATCGTCACTGGTGTTAGCTGTGAGCAGGAATCGAGCTCGGGTCGCCGGGTTCGTAGTGCAGCGCTCTAACCGCAACACTTCCGCTCCCCACAACCACAATCACCACCATCATGACCACCACAATTGCCATCACCACCATCTGTTGGAGTTGGTCTCCACAGACTGGGCCCTGCCATAGGAATGTGTAATTTCCAGAGCCAGTTCTTACATTTGTCCTCAGTGAGCTGTTTGAGAACCTCTCCCACATTCTGCAACACAAAAACAGTTGGTGAAACACCCGCAACGTGAAACAATCAATAGTCACACTCAGCCACTCGGTTATTCACTCACTCGCTAAAAAACTCATTCAGTGACACTGGGACAAACTCAATAGACACTCAATAGACACACTCAGCTACTCGCTCGCTCACTCACTAAAATACTTATTAAGTGGCACTCTGTGACACACTCAGTAGACACACTCAGACACTCGGTTATTCACTCACTCACTAAAACACTCATTCAGTGACACTGTGACACACTCAATAGTCACACTCAGATACTCACTCGGTTACTCACTCACTCAAACACTAATTCAGTGACTCTGTAACATACTCAATAGTCAAAATCAGGCACGCACTCACTCATTCAGTGACAATGACACACTCAATAGACACTATCAAAAACACTGAGCTACTCACTCGCTCACTCACTAAAATACGTATTAAGTGGCGCACTGTGACACACTCATTAGACACACTCAGACACTCGGTTATTCACTCACTCGCTAAAACGCTCAGTGACACTGCAATACACTCAATAGACACACTCAATAACCACTCAGCCACTCGCTCGCTCACTCGCTCACTAAAACACCCATTCAGTGACACTCTGTGACACACTCAAGTCACACTCAGATACTCACTCGGTTACTCACTCAAACACTAATTCAGTGACACTCTGTGACACTCAATAGCCACACTCAGACACTCACTCAAACACTCATTCAGTGACACGCTTTGATACACTCACTCAATAACCACACGGTCATTCACTCAATGACTCCCGAGGCAGTAATGACTGTCCTTTAGCGAGTGGTGGTAGTGCCTTGTGTCTGTACCTGGCCCACGCTCTGCAGAGCCTTGAGGTCGTTCTCGGACTTGTCATACTGCTTAGTCAAATCCTTGAGCTGTTCACGGACTGAGAGACACCATCACCACCATCATTATCATCAACACCACCATCAACACCACCATCAACACCATCATTATCATTAACACAACCATCATCAACACCACCATCACCACCACCATCACCACCATCATCAACACCATCACCACCATCATTATCATTAACACCATCACCATCATCACCATCATTATCATCAACACCACCATCACCACCACCGTCATCATCAACATCATCACCACCATCATTATCATCAACATCATCACAACCATCATTATCATCAACACCATCACCACTACGCCCGACCTTATGGAAGAGGTACGTAGATGACACTTTTGTCATCTGGCCACATGGCCGGCCTGCTCTAGACCAATTTCTCGACCACATCAATTCCATACACCCAGCCATCAAATTCACCATGGAAGTCGAAAAAGATGGCAAGCTACTCTTTTTGGGTGTCCTAATTAAAAGGAGACCTGATGGTTCAATGAGCCACTCTGTCTACAGGAAAGCCACCCATACGGATGCTTACCTAAAACCGGATTCCCACCACCATCCATCCCAGAAGAATTCCCTCATCAAGACTCTATACTATAGAGCCCAATGCATTTCCGACCAGGAACACATTGGCAGTGAACTCAAACACGTACGCCAAGCTCTTAAGGCTAATGGTTACTCCGACTACACAATCTGCAAGGCCATCACTCCAACCATCAAGAAGGATCCTGTTGAGGAGCCTTTCAAGACCATCACCTTACCCTACATTGCTGGGGTTACAAAAAAGATCTAGAAAATCCTGATTAAACACAAGATCCAGGTCCGATTCAACACAGTACATAAAATCCGTGATCTGGTCCCGTCTGTAAAAGATGTGGTTCCAGACATACAGTACCCTGGCGTATACAAACTAAGTTGCCTCTGTGGTAGCAGTTACATTGGAGAAACCAAACGACATGTCTCGGACCGCATCCGTGAACATAAAGCAGACCTGAAACACGGTAGGACAAACACCTCAGCCGTGGCAGATCACTGTTACAATTCAGTGGGCTCACATGATATTGACTTCTCCAAGACAGAGGTTCTCTGCAAGCCATCTGGCTATCATGAGAGATTCGTTCATGAGGCGATCCACATATTCAAACACAGAGACAATTTCAACCGAGAAGATGGATTCTGGCTCAGCAATCATTGGAAGGACATAATAAACCATTTCGGATCTTAACTGATTGTGTTCACGTTTACGGTGACTTTCAGACCGCAGTCCACTCACTGGCATCTAACCTATATAATTCATTTTTTGTCTGTCTGTCTGTCCGTCCGTCTGCGTACGCTCCCTTCCGGGGGATTTAGCTCTCGGACCGTGGGGTTCGCCGAGATTAAATTTTGCAGGTGGGCACGCCCCCGGCCCGCGATAAACTTAGGCATTTCCGATTTTTCGTCTCTAAACTTTAAATCGGCCCGATTATCGATTTAGTGCGATTTCTCTTTAGTTATTTATTTAAGCCTTTATTTATTTATTTAATATTGCCGGCCGGCGCGGACCACGGCGGTTGCCCCTGGCAACGGGTAGCAACAACTTCACTGCGGGGTGGACGCCATTTTTAATTCCCGTTAAAAATATGCGCACGCATTAACACGCGACTCTGAGGTAAATTCATCAAAGTTTCACGTCCTCTTCACTCCCCTTCCACCCCAATGTGTGCAATTATTATTATAGGGTCGGTAGATAATAAAATTATAGCGATTAGACAGTATTATTGTAGCGCGGGGGGGGGGGGGGGTAACGGCCCCAGCACCCAGCCTCAGCCGGGTGGGCAATCTAGGCGAGGCCGGAGGCTCTGCACGGTACTAGGCCTCGACACGCAACTCTGTCAGGCGACCACTTTGTGGTATAAACTCGATATACCCAGCGTTGCCCGGGGGAAAAATACATTTAAAATCTTCTGAAAACTTTAAAACATAACATACCAATGAAAATACAACTGTGTAATTAAAATTCTAAACCCGACCGCGCCAAGAATCGATTCTCTGAATCGCGAAAAGGAATCGACGGTTGTAGATTAATTTAGAATCGCCTTATTTCCGTTTAATATAAGTTGGTTATAGAGTTGATATAAACTGCTACGAATGGGAAATATCCGGCGTTGACCGGGGCTAAAATATAATTAAAAACTCCTGAAAACTTTATAACATAACATACGAATGAAAATAAAACTCTGTAATTAAAAATGGAAACCTCCTATGCGCCAGGAATCGATTCTTTGAATCGCGCAAAGGAATCATCGAAGGTTGTAGATTCCTTTAGGATCGCCCTTAACATGAGAGTGGTGAGGGAGAGTGGTGAGGGAGAGTGGTGAGGGAGAGTGGTGAGGGAAAGTGTTGAGGGAGAGTGGTGAGGGAAAGTGGTGAGGGAGAGTGAGTGTGAGTGGTGAGGGTGAGTGGTGAGGGTGAGGTTGAGTGGTGAGGGTGAGTGGTGACGGTGAGTGGTGATTGGTGAGGGTGAGTGGGGAGGGTGAGTGGCGGTTGTTAGTGGTGATTAGTGAGGGATGAGTGGTGAGGGTGAGCGTGAGTGGTGAGGGTGAGGTTGAGTGGTGAGCAGTGAGGGTGAGTGGTGATTGGTGAGGGTGTGATTGGTGAGGATGAGTGGTGAGGGTGAGTAGTGAGGGTGAGTGGTTGTTGTGAGGGTGAGTGGTTGTTGTGAGGGTGAGTGGTGAGGGTGAGTGGTAAGAGTGAGTGGTGAGGGTGAGTGACGGTTGTGAGAGGTGATTAGTGAGTGATGAGGGTGAGTGGTGAGGGTTAGTGGTGAGCATGAGTGGTGAGGGTGAGTGTTGAGCGTGAGTGGTGAGGGTGAGTGGTGATTGTTGAGAGTGTGATTGGTGAGGATGAGTGGTGAGTAGTGAGGGTGAGTGGTGAGGGTGAGTGGTGAGGGTGAGTGGCGGTTGTGAGTGGTGATTAGTGAGGGGTGAGTGGTGAGGGTGAGCGGTTAGGGTGAGTGGTGAGGGTGAGCGGTGAGGGTGAGCAGTGAGGGTGAGTGGTGATTGGTGAGGGTGTGATTGGTGAGGATGAGTGGTGAGTGGTCAGGGTGAGTGGTGAGAATGATTGGTGAGGGTGAGTGTTGAGGGTGAGTGGTGAGTGGTTAGGGTGAGTAGTGAGGGTGAGTGGTGAGCGTGAGTGGTGAGTGGTGAGCGTGACTGGTGAGGGAGAGTGGTGAGGGAGAGTGGTGAGGGAGAGTGGTGAGGGAGAGTGGTGAGGGAGAGTAGTGAGTGGTGAGGGTGAGTGGTAAGTGGTGAGGGTGAGTGGTGATTGGTGAGGGTGAGTGGTGAGGGAGAGTGGTGAGGGAGAGTGGTGAGGGGGAGTGGTGAGGGAGAGTGGTGAGGGTGAGTAGTGAGTGGTGAGGGTGAGTGGTAAGTGGTGAGGGTGAGTGGTGATTGGTGAGGGTGAGTGGGGAGGGTGAGTGGCGGTTGTTAGTGGTGATTAGTGAGGGGTGAGTGGTGAGGGTGAGCGTGAGTGGTGAGGTTGAGTGGTGAGCAGTGAGGGTGAGTGGTGATTGGTGAGGGTGTGATTGGTGAGGATGAGTGGTGAGGGTGAGTAGTGAGGGTGAGTGGTTGTTGTGAGGGTGAGTGGTTGTTGTGAGGGTGCGTGGTGAGGGTGAGTGGTAAGAGTGAGTGGTGAGGGTGAGTGACGGTTGTGAGAGGTGATTAGTGAGTGGTGAGGGTGAGTGGTGAGGGTTAGTGGTGAGGGTGAGTGGCGGTTGTGAGTGGTGATTAGTGAGGGGTGAGTGGTGAGGGTGAGCGTGAGTGGTGAGGGGGAGTGGTGAGGGTGAGCGGTGAGGGTGAGCGGTGAGGGTGAGTGGTGATTGGTGAGGATGTGATTGGTTGGGATGAGTGGTGAGTGTCGAGGGTGAGTGGTGAGCGGTGAGGGTGAGTGTTGAGGGTGAGTGGTGAGTAGTGAGGGTGAGTGGTGAGCGTGACTGGTGAGTGGTGAGGGTGAGTGGTTAGGGAGAGTGGTGAGGGAAAGTGGTGAGGGTGAATGGTGAGGGTGAGTGGTGAGGGTGAATGGTGAGGTTGAGTGGTGAGGGTGAGTGGTGATTGGTGAGGGTGAGTGGTGAGGGTGAGTGGGGAGGGTGAGTGGCAGTTGTGAGTGGTGATTAGTGAGAGGTGAGTGGTGAGCATGAGTGGTGAGGGTGAGGTTGAGTGGTGAGCGGTGAGGGTGAGCAGTGAGGGTGAGTGGTGATTGATGAGGGTGCGATTGGTGAGGATGAGTAGTGAGGGTGAGTGGTTGTTGTGCGGGTGAGTGATGAGGGTGAGTGGTAAGAGTGAGTGGTGAGGGTGAGTGACGGTTGTGAGAGGTGATTAGTGAGTGGTGAGGGTGAGTGGTGAGGGTTAGTGGTGAGCATGAGTGGTGAGGGTGAGTGTTGAGCGTGAGTGGCAAGTGGTGAGGGTGAGTGGTGATTGGTGAGGGTGTGATTGGTGAGGATGAGTGGTGAGTGGTCAGGGTGAGTGGTGAGGGTGAGTGGTGAGGGTGAGTGGTGAGAGGTGAGGGTGAGTGTTGAGGGTGAGTGGTGAGCGTGACTGGTGAGGGAGAGTGGTGAGGGTGAATGGTGAGGGTGAGTGGTGAGGGTGAATGGTGAGGTTGAGTGGTGAGGGTGAGTGGTGATTGGTGAGGGTGAGTGGTGAGGGTGAGTGGGGAGGGTGAGTGGCAGTTGTGAGTGGTGATTAGTGAGAGGTGAGTGGTGAGCATGAGTGGTGAGGGTGAGGTTGAGTGGTGAGCGGTGAGGGTGAGCAGTGAGGGTGAGTGGTGATTGATGAGGGTGCGATTGGTGAGGATGAGTAGTGAGGGTGAGTGGTTGTTGTGCGGGTGAGTGATGAGGGTGAGTGGTAAGAGTGAGTGGTGAGGGTGAGTGACGGTTGTGAGAGGTGATTAGTGAGTGGTGAGGGTGAGTGGTGAGGGTTAGTGGTGAGCATGAGTGGTGAGGGTGAGTGTTGAGCGTGAGTGGCAAGTGGTGAGGGTGA